AGAGAAAGAAAGAGAAAAAGAGAGAAAAAGAGAGAAAAAGAGAGAAAAAGAGAGAAAAAAGAGAGAGAGATAAGAAAGGTTTTGGTGATCTGTGTATGAAAATTGTGGAATCTCACACTCAAATTCCTGGCATTCTAATCTCCTGAAATATAAGGACTTTGGTGGTGTCAGGGATTGGGAGCAATATGAGGGAAGGTTTAATTCAGGTTCTGAATTAAAAATGCTGGGTTTGGGTCTAAAATCGCCTCTGTATTTTTGATGTTTTTAAAAAGAGTGCATAGAACACCTGGAGAAAGTGTTTGGCTGCACATTTTTCAACAGCCATGTCTTCCCACAATATAAACACTTTGCTTCTTGGAAATGTTGCTTTAGTTAATATCTTGGCCTCTTTCCCCATATAATGTTTATAGATTAGGGAAGTAGAATTTCTGCTTAGTGTAAACACCTGGTGGCTTTCCATAACAGACGTTTAAATCTATTTATCTTTTAATTGTCAGTTGCACACTGCTGTGAGAAACAGGACCTTCTCACCGTTGTGGCTGAGGTAGGGAGGTGGTTCTTTTTGTGACCACTTTTTAAGAAAATGGTTAGGAAAAAGAGAAAGGAACAGAAGTCATGGCTAAGGATTATGAAGAGGTAGGATCACACAGTCAAATAGGAGCTGTTGGTTGTATCACAAGATTTTTTTGTCTTGCTGCAACAGCTGGACAGGGCAACTACTCTGGAAAAGTTAAGAATTATAAGAGAGAAATAGAAATACAAAATGCCTAACAGTATATATTGTGGTGGCTGTTGTGTTGTTATTGTGGTCAGCTCACAGTTCACTGCACAATGAAGAGCTCTTCAATGAAGGTTATGGACCGTTCTCACCACACTGGTCCAGCGCAGGTTGCTAGAGAGATGTTTTATTATGATTACTATTTCTTTATTTACTTTATCACATTCATTTATTTTATTTTTAGTCTTCCTAGCTTAGGCTGAGAGAGAAGGGCTGGCCCAAAGTCCCCCAGGTGGCTTCTATGCCTAAAGAAAAATGAGCCCTTGGGTTTCCCCACTCCTAGACCAACACCTTCACCACATCTCTGTTTATACTGATTTATATAATCAGTATAATCACCTTCTGCAAATCCCTACCACCCCCGCCCCACTACCAGCCATCTGAGATAGTTGGGCAGAGACGGACGGATTGCCTCAAAGTCACCCAGCTGACTTCTATGCCTAGCAGAGGACTAGAACCTGGGTCTCTCCACTTCCACTCCAGCATTTTAAGCCCTAAACCCACCAGCTCTTGTATATGTGTGTATATACACCTGTTTGTCTCTATAAAAACAGGGAACTCAGTCAGTCCTGTGGCACAAGGAAGATGTAACATGTTTCATATGGCGTAAACCAGTGTTTCTCCACCTTGGCCAC